ATCCATGACAGAGGCAAAACTGTGGCTCATCAGAGGCTTTTTCTCAGTCTGATTTATTCAGCTTCACCAGCTGGTTTTTCCAGACTTCACTTTGCCTGGAGGAAGTCCATCCAGGACTGAAGGAAAAAAATACATCCTGGGTCCAGGACGTCCGACCGTGGGGGAAATTACCAAGAGAAGGTGTCACTGTTTCCTGGCACATCAGCATGATTTCTTTGCATGATTGTGGCATCAAGAAGAATCAGCCACTCACAGTGCATGTTAAAACTCTGCTGCCCAGTCGTGAGCGGCGTCAACAAACAGGTTGAGAAAAAGTCTTTGTCTGTGCTGGTCCTCAGACTCGGTTTATCCCGAAGACTCCGATCTTTGACTGTAAATCCTGGTTCCAGTGCGGCCGTTGTGTTAAACATCCAGTTCTGTTTGTAGCTTTACGTCCACAGAGGCCAGTGTTTGTTTGAGGAGTATCAGCGGCTCCCGCTTCAAGACCCAAACACAACAATAACTTTGAACTGTGCAAATCATAGTAAAGACTGACTTTCCCTTTCAGCTAAAGTCTCAGAATACTTTGGGAAGAGCTAGAGAACATCAGAGAGATAGAACCAAGAATCAATGTTTCATTTTTTTAGACGACAAATCTGAATGAAAAACAACCACTGCCATATCTGCGGAGTCCATGCAACACCATTCCTCTTTCCAGCTTCATCTCCTTCATCTGCTTCCTAAGCCCTCTGCAGTTCCCCCCCATTCTTTTGCTCAGCGTTCTCCTTGGTTCTAACACCTGCATCCTCATTAGCACTCTCACTCCTAAACTCTGCGAAGGGCTGCAGATCGACGGACGGACAGAGACGTACGGATAGTGTGAGGACGGTTGGGCGCTTATTGCTTTACTGACGCATATTGCTTGTTTACTCGCTGTCATTCCTCATTTGTTCTCAACCTCTAATGCATTTCGAGTGATTAAGGACAGACCCCAGAGAATATTTTGGTCAGGCTTTTAGAGGCCAGGAAGCTTTTCATATGAAGTGACCCACTGAGCGTGTGCCACCTCACGGGGATTAAAGTCAAAGAGACAGTGAAACCTCCTGCAACACGGTACATTACATATACTGTGCAGCGCCCACGAGAGCATAAGCGCAGATGCGTTTGATGCATATTCACACCATGCATATCCCATTGATGCTTTTGTATTCATGATCCCCATTCTCCGCTGATCCCTTATTACAAAGGCGTGCCAGCAGCTCCGTGCACCAATCCAACAGCTTGCTAAACAGGTTTTTCACATCTTGGAGAGGTAAAGTGGAGAAGCCATTGCGGCATTACGAACACGAATTATATTGCTAATTTATTCTCTCATTAAAGTTTTACTCCGTTGCTCATTTTATCTGCTTGTGTACATGCACAGCTCCATTAAATTGAGATGCAAATTGGGGAAATTGGCTGACTGACATTTCTGCTTGCAAAGAAAGTACGCATGGTTCATTTAAAGGTAGCATGTTGGTACGGGAAAATCTCCAAATGTGAATAATGTATCGCAAAGCATCTGGTCACTCATGTCCCAGGCTGCGTTCGTGTCTGTGTTTGTATCCAGTGTGAATCCTGCTCAAGTTTCTGTGAGTGATTTCATGTGTGTGAGTGCGATGGTGTGGCGGGGAAGGAAATCTGGAGGCTGCCATTCTGTGACTGACTCTGTCATTAATTATACTCCCGGGCCCCACCAACACACACACACACACACACACACACCCACACACAGACACACAACGAGAGGACCTGGTGAGAATCGCACAGAGCACTGGGTACCAAAAGCCAGACAAGTGCCTCGTACCCATCGCTCAACCCTCTGCGGAGATGGATGCTCAGAGGGAGGTTGGGGGGCAGATGACAGTCTGTTAGGGAGCAGAGAAAGTGAGAGAGAGCAAAAGAAAGAGAGACAGAGCGAGAGAGAGCGATTGAGCGAGAAAAAGTGCTAAATAGTGTGTGACTGGTAAACGCTACTGTTTGATTAGGTTCCACCACCTGTCTGATGTGCTGGAGCATGTGCCAGGCATATGCACTGCGGCATATCTGGTGTCCTCATGATAACAAATGAAGGTGAATTGAATCAGTGGGTCTGTTCTGTGCTGCTCTGTAGAGCGGAGATGAGACTATGTGCTGCGAAGGCTGAAAGCAAAACTGAATTTCTAAACTGAAGCCATCAATAATCACTGCTGGACAAGCTGAAAATGTAATATATTCATCAGGTAATTACTAAATACTATTCAGCAGCGGTTATTGCTTTCACGACTCATAACACTACTTATGTTTCTCAGCCCAGCTCTGGCTAATTTGCCTTTAAAGTGGGATTCCAGTATATTTCAGGTGTATTTCCAGGAAATTTGACTCTATGGTTACATTTGCCATTTCCCAAGAACGCATGCAAAACAACAAATACGCATTATCGACAAGGGGACACTGGCTGACCTAAACATCTGCATATTCTACATGCAATGGCAGATTACCGCATGGACGACCATGAGGAGGATTAAATCACGTCACGTTGATGCTGAGCTGGACACTAACAGGACTCGATCAAAAGAGGTAGACTCAAAGAAAATCGTGTTCTCGTGAAAAACACTGGTGACGTTACCGTGGTCACTGAAATACGTCAGCTTGAAATATAACGTTAAGCTCCCACTGCGGTCTGTGGAGTGACCCCCGACACTAGTGGGTGCTAAAGACAAATCTACTGAAAGCACACTACAGAAGAGGACAGAAGAAATAGTTTGATCCATCCATTCATTATCTAAACTCTTTGAGGGTTCACCCTGGACAGGTCGCCACAGGGTCGACTTACAGAGACAAACAAACATTCAAACTCACACCTACAGCCAATTTAGAGTGTCCAGTTAACCAAACCCCAGTATGCATGTCTTTGGACTGTGGGACGAGGTTGGAGAAAAACCGGGATTTGAACCAGGAACCTTTTTGCTATTAGCTATGAAGAACGTAAGGTTTAAAGAGATTTGCAGGGGTGTCTGTCCCTGCCACAAGAAGCATGCAAAATACTCTTTAGTCCCTTATATTATTTGTAAAAAGGAAAACATTATCACACTACTGCACAGTGTTGAACAAAGTTAATAAATTATATTTTGTGTCCTGTCTCAAAATAAAAAGATTCCGTCCTGGAACAAGCTGCATTTGACTCACTTCGGCACCTGCTCTTTGTTTGCTGGCAGTCATTGTGGGGGCTGGAGCACTTCATTAACAGGGAGTGGAGTAAATTGCAGTGCCCTGACAAGTGGTTCCAGCCTCTCAGATTGTGTTAGCATCGCAGCAGTAAACACATACATCACACAGCTGTGTTTAGCAATGGCCATAGTGGGAAACAGTGTCCCCATAATGCATCGCTGCTTTTCTCTCCGCACAGCCAGACGCACACCGTGGGGTTATCCATTAGCAACTGATTATGAAATCATTTCTTTGCAAACAAATGACGCTGCAGCCAGAAAACAGTGAAGTGGATGTCGGAGGATGTGCATGATATATATTCACATATTGTAACTTCACTTCTTGGTATAAACAATTGTCTGTGCCAGCACGCAGCGTTGGCTGACATTTCTCCGACACAAACAAAGTCTCATTTGTGAAACTCAGTGTGGAGCAGCGCGACAGACAGAGGGAGGATGTACTGACTTTATAATGACCTTTCTGGATACAGGGGCTCTTTTGCCCTTATTTTCCAGGGATGGTGACACATCCTGGGGTTTCTTTAGAGGTAAACATCCACAGCACCACAATAGACGGTGGCTGGAATTAGCTGCTCAACAAACCGCTGCGACAAGAGAGAGACAAGCGTGTGTGTCTGTTTGTGTGCGTCAGTGGTCTCTGCAATGCTGGGAACCTTCTGTAATTGTTGACAAGTGTGTGTTTGTGTGTGTGTGTGTGTGTGTCTGTGTGTGTGCAGATCATCCTCATCTCATTTGCTGCCCCCAGTGGCATTGTCTGGGCTGATTGGAAGCCAGAGTCTGAGGGGCCTTTGCTGACAGCCTCGGAGTCTTGGAGGTTAGTTTGGGGAGTAAATAGTGTCTTGTGCGTGTGATCTGAACATGTGCGAGTGGTGTCATTGAGTTGAAGGGGGGGTGGGGGGGACAGAGCTGTGCCAACACACTGAGAGGCCACTCAATTATTCAGAAGAGCCGTCGGGTTCAAAGAGTCACAACCCACCACCTTCACAGCTCATCTGCTGCTGCTGCTGCTGTTTTGACCCACTGGTCTTAAAGAGTACACAGACATCACTCACGTCATTATTAGTATTGTCAACAATAATGAGGAAAAACTTCCAGATACGATATTTCTCGCCCTCAATCTTGCCGTTAGGGCTGTGGATATAAAAGACATCTGAAGATTTCCCTTACAACTCAGCTTGGTTTCTTTTGTCTCCCCTTCTATTCGCCCATTCGCCCCCATGTTCAGACAGTGACCTCTGTCTTGCTGTTGGTGGGCAGTCCCTTGTGCTTGGGGTGCATGCGCGGCGAGTGGCCGTAGCCCAGCGGCTGCGAGAAGAGCTCGGGCAGCGTCTCGATGCTGAACTGCCTCTTGTTGGAGTAGGCCTGGCGCCGGCTGTTCTGCTGGTGCAGCGGCTGATGCTGCAGCTGCTGGATGGGGTGATGCTGCTGCCCCTGGAGCACCATGTGGGAGGCCACCGGGTGGGGGGCGTGGCTCTTACTGGGGTCCCATACTTTGAAGGCCGAGCTGGAGGTGAGCGGATGGGTGTTGGTCTTGGAGATCTTGGGCTTGGGGATTTGGGAGGTGTTGATGGTGATGGCCAGTGGCGCGTGGATGTCGGGCGGCGGGAGGAAGGGCTTGTCCTTGGGATGGAAGTTGATTGGCTGGAAAGTGGGAGGGGACTGGCGGTGGGTGTAGTCTACCATCGGGTAGCTCTTGTAGTAGTCTCTCGTGGTTGTGTCTGGATGAAGAATGGGGGCAGAGAGACAGGGGAGGAGGGGACAGCAAGACAGGGACATTGTTAATTAATGATGGGACAATTAGTGATAAAAGCATCAGTCGTGTTTGTGGATATAAAACTAAAAACAATATAATAATGATAAAGAAGATTTTTATTTTGTTATTTAGCGGTTTTGCAATATTTTCATAGATTTCTCACAACACAATTCATGGATGATAATGACGACAATCTGGTACATTAAGTGTGTGTGCTATATGTGGATAAGGGGACTGTTGGGTTTTCTGCAGTGTTAAAAATATCAACAGCACCAAGGAGGAAACAACCGGCAAAATAATGGGAGAAGCATTGTGTGTGTGTGTGTGTGTGTGTGTGTTTGTGTTTGTGCGAGAGAGAGAGAGAGAGAGAGAGAGAGAGAGCAAAATGGGAGATTTGTAGGGAGTAAAAATAGAGCATGTCGAGTCAGATTAGCCCGAGCTCCCTGAGTGGAACTCGACTCTGTTGTACGGTCATAACCACTGCCCCCCCCCACCCCAACACACACACACACACTCTGCCCGAAAGACACTAATAACCTTGTTTGCGTGGGCCCCCTTTTTTTCCTGGAGAGAAACAAGAGCCATCTTTCTCTCCCTGCGTCACTGTTTGTATCTTCAGTGCCGTTTGTCTTCCTCTGAGACGAGGGGATCTTTCAATATCTTCATAACGTAACTGGACACAGCTGCTATCAGGCAGCACTGTGTTGTGATGCCAGTGTGTGTGTGTGTGTGTGTGTGTGTGTGTGTAACTGATCTTATCATTATTACACTCCAAACAGGAACATAATAGGGTTATGTCAATAGTCTGGTGTGAGGATGAATGACCAGTGGAGTTTAATCTGTTGTAATAAATGTCAATCGCTGTTAGTGGCTGTTTACTCTTCAATGTGTGTTTGAGTGCATGTGTTTTTTCTTTAATTATGAAACTTGAACGCAGCTCAACTCAAGACAATCTGCACTTGACGGCATGTTTGGGTCGATGTCTGCACCACTCGCTGTTTAACCTCCTGTACACTTCAGCCGTTTACAAGGAGAGGTACTAGTTTTGGGGCGATATTCAGATAAACACAGCAAAACAGACGTCATAATCTTTTTATTTATTTCAAGAATAAAATCTAGATTGACTGACGCCTTCTTATATTTGTATTTCCAGAAAACAATTGAAGGAGAAGTCTCACATTCACACGTGTCAGAACACTGTCCAGCGCCCTCACAGTCCGGTAATTGCTTATTGAACCCTTCATTGTGTAACTCCAAAGCACTTCAGCAGCAGCTGCTGAGGAGGGAGACAGAGTTGCTGGTAATCATTCTGTCCCTCTGTAAAATTCACCTCACGCTGGTCCGAGGATTTAGTGGGGCCAACAATCAGAATAACACAAGGCCTATTGTGCGAACAATTGTTGTCGATCACAAAACCTATTTTAGACGAATTTATTCTGCAAGAAGCAATAAAGTGTCACAATATCGGGGAGTAGGAGAACGAGGGAATGAATAGAAAAACCGATTTGCTTTCATTTAAATTTTGCAAGATAGAAACGAGTTGAGGATTAGTGTGTATGTGTGTGTCTATGGTTTCATATGTTTGCCTGCAATGCATGTGTGTGCAACTTCTTGCATTGTGCAACAAAGAACAAATTTACATACGTTCTTCACTGACTGAAAAGAAAAAGAGCTGCATGATACATACGTGTCTGTGCACAGTGTGCAGTAAAGTGCATCACATGCTTTTGGCAGTGGAGAGAGGCTGCATGTTTGTCACAGGGACACGGGGACACTGATTCAACGTCAGCAGTATTACAACAGTTAGACAGGTTGTATTTGCAGACTGCTGTACGAGTTTTTTGATTCAAAGTACACTGAAGCTACAGTAAAGCGACGGACTTTGACGCTGAATTGGTCTAAATCTCTGAACAGGGGCGAATCTGGGGCAAAACAAATGAATTAAACACACATTTCTGTCCCTCAACAACTGCTGTTGCTGTCCATTTGAGTGTTTCCACACAGGTTGCCAGCAGGAGCACCTGACAGCAGAGTCCTCTGTGACAGTATCATGTGCCTTCCTCTCCGTTTCACACACTCTCCATCTGCTCTCTCTCTCTTTCTCTCCCTCTCTCCTGTTTTCCATTCTTTCCTCCTATGTTGCATTTTTCTCATGCTCTCCAACAACATCAGCTCTTGCTTTCTTTTGAGCCACAGCCTAAAGCGAGGCCCGTGGGCCCAATCTGGGCCACCGCATTATAACTGCATAAGCTGGGCCCTCTGAAGGATTTCAGAATTTGACAACATATTCTATTTAGTCTATTTTTAATACCATTTGATTATGTTGAAGCAGTTTTTCTGGGGGAACCTGCTCAGTATAAAGCATTTCAACACACATCACAATGAAATGAGAACTAACATGTAATTCTCAAGTAATCTATACCTGCTGGTTCTTTTGTGCATGTGGCCTGTCAAATTATCTTTTGTCCATTTCATAGCTTCTCTGTGCGTTTTTAAATCCTCCAGTTACAAATTCACGAGCATTTTATGGACTTTAAAGACGATTTTTCTGACCTTTGCATTAATATGTGATCACATGTCAAAGTGCAGTATTAACCTCTTAATAAAAACAGTTTGCCAGAGTTTCTTA